CACAGCGAGGAACCGACAGCCGCCTGCCCCTTCCCATCACCCCCTTGCCTTGCACAGTCCCCCCCGTCCCCCAATCCCAGGCCAGTAATTCTCACAGCTCCCCCAGGTCACCGCGCTCAGCTTAACCTGGACACCCCAGGTGCCGCGTGCTCCCGTCAGAGCCCCAATGGCAGCATCCGCCCAGCCTCTCGGCGCCGGCCCCCCGCCCCATCTGCACTGATCCGCGATGGCCTCACCTGTGCCGGCCGCCATGTCGGAGCTGATGGAGAGGGTGCAGTTGGGGGCGTCGGCCGCGTCTGAGCATCCGTTGAGCAGCTGCAAGTACTCCAGGGCATCGGAGAACTCCCTGGGGCCGAGGGGGAGAGGAGCAGTTGGGGCGGCTGCCAGGAGAGTGAACCGTCCTGGGTCCTCACCCCCTTCCCAGGGACTCGGGGTGCAGGGGCCAGCAGCTGGATGTCTCTCTGCCCTGGGCCGCTACTGGTACTTACCCTTCTGTGTGGGTGGCCGGTGGGCTGGGCTCCGGCATGGCCACGGAGCACAGAGCCTTCTCCAGCAGGTGCTCACGGAACAGCTGGGTCACCTGAGCCAGGGGGTCCACTGGGAAGCACCGAGACTCTTCCAGCTCGCCCTGCAAATCCCACAGGGACCAATCACCTCCCTTGCTGGGGGCATCCTAATAAGGGGCAGGGCAGGCTGGTCCCTGGCAGGGTGCCCAGCAACCCGGAAACCAAGGGTAAGGGCAGCAGCAGAGCTGCAAGGGAACCCAGAGCGACTGCGGGGTGGGATCGAGGGGCGTCCGCAGAGCTGAGCCTGGGAATGTGGGCGCAGTCCCTGCCTGCCTCTCCCTGGGGCTGTGCCCGCCCTGCGCAGACAGCTGGGCAGTGAGACACGGGGTACCTGGGTTGCCGGTGGAGCTGTAGATGCTGTCCCTCGGGGTGCCCTTCACAGACCAGTCTCCATCGACGAAGCCACTGCAGGGCCGGGGGCACGGTGCCGCTGTGCGACAGGGACACCTGCCGGGCGCTGCACAGGAAGGGGCGCTGCAGGGGCAGAGACACGGGTCAGCCCCTCTGGGCGAGATGGGGACAAGCGCAGCCCTGGGGGCAGCCAGACAGGATGGTGCTGTCTGGGCAGAGCACCATGGCCAGAGCTGGCATCCAGTTCAGGGCTGGTCCGAGGCAGCAGGGAGGTTGGGAGGAAAGATGCCCAGCTATGGACCCCTCCTCGCAGGGGGTGCCAGGCTCAACAGGCCCCAGCCACCCCAAATAGTAAGAGGGTTCCTGATTGTGGGGAATGCTGCCTGTAGCGCCCCATCCTGGAGCAGCCCTGGGAGGGTGGGGCATGGAGGAGCCCCGCCTACACTGGGCCAACCCCGCCCCCCAGCCATACTCACCGCCAGGAAGTGGACGCACCGGTGAAGGCTGGTCTTCACACGAAGCGCCGCGGCCACGTAGATCTCGGCAAGCGTCGCCACGGAGACCAGCCCTCAGCGCCATGTTGATGCCAGAGAGGTGGCCCCCAACGTGCTTCCCTATGGGCGAGGAGATGGGGGACATCAGCCTAACATTGAGGGG